CCCCAAAACCCCAAAACCCCAAAACCCCAAAACCCCAAAACCCCAAGATAGTATCCAGCACTAGAATACGAATATTATTATAAAGTTAAGAGTATGAATTTCTTATCTAATAATCTACAGCGAAATCATCGTACATGTCTTCATCTCTATAGTAGCTTGGTTAGATTAAAAATAGCTTTCAGACAAAGTATAGACTTGCTAGTGAGAAAACACCAATGCGCTAATGCAGTCAGAAGCTTACTCATCATCGTTCAATGAGTTTAGCTGGTTCTTTTCTCAATTTTGTTGGTCATACTCTGATCAATCACTTCTTCTGGGTGCAAATACCTATTGTTTAAGAATTTAGAATTTTAGCAAAATCTGGGAAATTCTGGTCATTTCGTGACTTCTTCAAAGTAACTTATCTTAAAGAGTTGATAATATTGGCTTTTAAATTCCAAAATAAACAGAGCCTTACCTTATTTTTCCAGAAGTCAATGTTGTAAGAAGGCTCACCCTTCTTGGTGGATTTTCTCTTCTGTAAAGAGTGAGAGAAGTTATAGTATGAAGTACCTTCTTATTTTTCTTGCCTTTCTTTCCCTTCTTTTTACCTTTTATTTTCCTACGGAATATCTTCCTGGGCTCTCAATCTGATTTACTCTTAGTGACTGCTGAAATAGAGTTGCTATAGGTCATTCTGAAGTAGTACTCTCCTATCAGGGATTTGGCTTGCCTCTCAAACAAATTATCAAGTTTGCGAATACAGTCTTCAGCATCATTAATCAGGCTGAATTAATTAAGTCTGAAGCTTACTTCATGGGATCAAGGGGGAGTTTCTCTCGCTCATCCTTTATCTGAGGTAGATAACTAGAGTCTAGTTGGTTAGAAAGGGCAGGGGTTTCTTCTTGGTCTTTATTTCAGCTGAGTTTTCTCTGCTATATTTACTTAATGGTAAAACATGTTATATCAAAAATATTAAATATGAATTTCTGGCTATGCCAGACTCGAACATTCAAAAATCTCAAGAGGCTTACCTTTCTGAATACTTTCAACTTCTAAAGACTTTTCATTTGCTTCTTTGACTACGGAGTTGTCTTCAGAGTTCCTATTAAGAATTTTTAAGCATGTTCAAACTCCCTAAAAATCGTTCTGAATGAAATTTTCGTAAAGCGTTAGCACCATTAAGTCTCGATTATATTTTCAGTACAAATAGAGGCTTAGAAAGTATGATAAATATTTAAGTCATCCAGGCCAATGAGTTAGAATTAGCTCTTGGAAGCTCAATCCGGAACAAGATCAGACTGAAGTCAACCCTACCTAGATTCTGAAAGCATTAAGAACTTGTTGGAGCTCTTCATGTTCAGTACTTGTTGCCTATATAAAGTAAGATTTCAGCTTCTTGGTGAATTTTAGAAGAAAGAAAGGTGTTAATTTGCAACATAATTTTAGGATATGCTAAATTAGCAGTTTGTTAAGTAATCTTTGATACGAAAATTGAGCTTAATCCTTACTTTTGGTACTCTTTGTCTTTAAATGAAAAGATGTTTTGAGTAGAGCATATCATTGGGGTGAGCCCACTTTCTGCTGCCTTATTTATTGGCTTCTGACATTGCTTTTCTAAAGGAGGAGGTACGTCCTTTGGAAGATTAATTGCTTCAGAGTACTTTGGGTTGCTCAAATCTGAGACCTTCATCTTCGGCAAGTTGCTGAACCGAGAGCTTCTTTTACTCTTCCTCTTCTGACTTCTCGCTACTATCTTAGCCTTCATCTCCTGCTTAGGTTTAGAACTAAATAAAAATCAATAAGCTCCTTCAAAAAACTCAGTCCCTACCTTTTCATTCTGAATCATCAGAAAAATGTACAAGTAGTCTTCTGAATAATCTGTGTTACCTGTTTTCCCTCTTCAGGTTCCATTACAATAAATATTTTAATATGTCAATATTTCTTAGTTAATCTGGGGTTTTGGGGTTTTGGGGTTTTGGGG